CTCATTGCAATCAGTTTGTTTGCAAATACTTTGCCTCATCCAAAACCCACTTAAGCGAGTGTGAATCTTTTCATGGCTTTCAGTGGACTTTGGATCAGGCCCTAGAAGAAAAAGAAGCTAACTTCACTGAAAAATTCATTCAGTGCAAATATTCACTTCAGCTCTAAGTGCTCCCAAACTCCGGCAACATTGTTATTTCAGGCATGTGCTCTTAACCAGAGCGTGTGAAATGCACCAGTCGGGGTAGCTATGTCTTCTTTGATATGGCCAGATCAGTTTAATTGTACTGCATAATCTGCAGTGGTCTTTGACTGTTAAAAAGATTCATTCCCTGTGTTCTGGTTTTTTGATAGTTTATTATCATTTCTCCTCTTCCTCCCCATAATGAGACGGCTGGAGTCTCCGGAGTGGAGTTATAACAAAGCAACAGCAACTCAGCAGAATCAGACGGGTCCTGTGGGGTCCAACATCACAGCTCTTCTGAATGTTCTGCTTCTGCAGTTTCTTCCAGCTCTGGCTGGAGAAGCAGGAGCAAATGTGAAAATCAGAACAATTGCACTCGCTTCTTAGAGAGGCTTTACTGCACTGCAGTGTTTCCTGCTCTGAGGAGAGGGAACTCCAGAGATGCCATGGTAAATTTTATTCCCGTGGCACAGTAAATGTTGGGGTTTTTTTCCCCAGTGATGATTTTGGTGGTGCGTTTTGCCACCCATCCTACCAGGAAGTCATGATGCAGTATTGCTGACAGCACAATCATTACCATGACAGCATGGTGTGATATTATCAATACAATTGTATCGATAACACCAAGGTGACTTCACTGTGGACTCAAACTCGATTAGGAACTGAATTGTGGAGAGGAAACCTCTTCTCCCCCCCCCCCCCGATAAAGTTTCCAATGAATAACCATGAGCCTGATTGGCTCCCACAGAAGCGGCTGAGAGTCTCTCCACTGGGAGCTGGGTAGGTAAGTATGAAAAATCGGGACAGGGGATGGGGGGCACCTATATAACCCAAAGCCCCAAATATCGGGACTGTCCCGATAAAATCAGGACATCTGGTCATCCTAGAGCTGGGTCAGGCCCAAAGGCAATGCAGAAAACTGTCGTCACAGAGTAAATATATTTGCAGCATCAGGGATATATGAAGGAATGAGGCGGGACCACGCTGTCTAAAAATCCAAGCAACTTTAGCCCTAACACAGCCGCGCCTGCCTCTTCCAGAGCTGGTGGCAGGCTGCACTACCCAGCCCAAGAACACTGTGGGTATCCGTGCGCTGCAGTGCTTCCCAGCCTGACTAGAAGATGCGCTAGGTCTGCTTGGCCCAGCATGCTAAAAGTAGCAGGGTAACACGGATGGTGGCTTGGGCTAGTAGCCTGGGGTCCGGGCGGGTTTGTTCTCAACTGGCTTGCCCATGCCGCTGTGGCTGTCCCGCTAATTTTAGTGCACTTGCTCAAGCCGTGCCAACGCATGGCTGGCTACCAGTACTGGGACGCACGCTCTCAGCTGCAGTGTAGACATAGCCTTTGGGTCCATTTTTATTCTCCCAGCCTTCTCAAACCATGCACCTCTGCCATCTAGCTAATGAGGATGGGAGGCCCATTACTGTATTTTTCTCAGGTTTGCCTCGTCGTGAAAGGTTAAATTAACACCATGAACCACTTGCTTGTTGAGACCTACGGGACCCGTTTGATTAAGAGGCCAACCTTGCCCATACAATTCCCCTGGACATTGGTGGGAGTCGCATGAGCTTGAGCCTGACATGCCAAGCCATATCTAATACTAAGGGCCAAAACTGGTGTTGGATCCCCATTGGTGGCCCATGGGACGTCTGTGGTCAAGATTTGGTCTTGCTCCAATTAAACAAAAATCAGATCTTTTTTCTTGGTTTAAAGCTGAAAATTGTCTACCCTATTGTGGGGCTTGTCGGAGCCAAGCAGGGTGGATGAGTCACACCGGGGTAAAGCAGGGATGTGTGCGTTTACATCAATTAAATCTCAATAACCAGTCAAGAGGATAATATGAATGTGAGGCCTGATCCAACAAGGAGCTGAGTATCTCCAAGAAGCTGAGTTGAGAGTACTCTGCTTCTTGGAGGATTGTCTCTTAGGACCCAGACATGAATTCCTGCTTTGTGCTCAGAACAAAACAAAGGAAATCACACAACTCCAAGCTGGGCCTTAAACTCATCTGTGAGATCCAGCAAATCTAGTTCAGAGGGTCGTGCTGTCACCATTAGCTCTCTGATTCAAGCCCCATTACAGCTCATAACAGAGAAGGAATGCTGGTCGTGAAGGTGGGCAAAATATTGCAGTGAAATTCAAAATGTGAGACTGAAACAGAACACAACTAAAGTCAGAATTGCTTGCGCTTCCTTTAAAGATCAGCATCAGCTCTGAATGGGGTTGTTTCCATGGCCAAATGTTGCAGTTTTGCATGTTCTTGCGACTGAATTACCATTTTTGTGAAATTTTAGAAAAACGCACACATTTTGGGGCACGAACGTGGGCAAAACGAATTTGCAGGAGATTTCTCTGGCCTTTTTGTTGAGCTGTTTCCGCAAATTTGCACAGCCTTAGCCCCCTAGTCAGGAAAGTATTCCTGTTCAAGATTGAACATAAGGACATGCTTTAAATTAAGCATATGCTTAAATATTGTCTTGGACAGGGATGGATTTAAGCACATGATTTAGTGCTCTCCTGAATTGTGGCCCTAATTCATAGCGTGCATGTATAGGCAACTTTCTTCCTGCCTTTCTCTACAGCAGTGGTGGAGAACGCCATAACCCTTGCTAGCAAACGGTGGCAAATATGTCCCTTTTTGAGTTATATGTGGTGCTGCGGAGCCATGGAGCAGCTTGTGTCGGTGCCATTACTTGGTAGGGAAAAGGTTCTCCTGGAGTGAAAGGCCACCCTGCAATGAAGAGGAAGGTTTCCAGAGTTCACACAACTCTAGTTTGCATAAGACTTCACCCATTTTTTTTTTCCAAAAATGGAAACCCCAGTGCATGGTTACCAAGAATAGTGCATTTACTACCAATCAGGAACATAATAAGGGTCACTAATTAGAACTGAGCAATCTGGAGGGATAGCTGTGCTGGAGATGATTATACAGTCATACACCTGTGGGAAACATCCGAATACACGAGCAGCTTCGTTTGGGCTTGGAGGGATGGCATGCCTTTGCCATGTTACCTCAGATATGATGCTCAGGAATTGCCTGGGGAAAGGAACTTGGAGATGCAATTTTCCGCTGATCTGTTTTAAATGCTAAAAGCAGCAGCCTGTATTTAACTTCCTTTTGGAGTAGTAATCTGTATTCTGTGTGCACATCTCAAATCAAAATTTCCATTGGTAGAAGCCATCCTTCCTAAGCAGAGTGCTTTCAAATTGCATCTATAGATCTTCTTTGTACCAAAACATTTCTGGTTCGGTATCTAGTGCTGCCTGCATTTATGTCTCCTCATCAAATTAAGTAACTGTGCCATCAATAAAAAGGAGTAATGCAGTGTATTCCCTTAGGATGCCTTCCGTCCCTGATTTGTTTGGGGACTACTGCGCTTGATTAAGAATGATAACAAGCTATTGGTAATCTAAGTTTGATGCAAAGCAGCTAAGATTAAATCAATCTGTGTCAGTGGAAGGCAGATCATCATTTAGGAAATGCACGCTTATCCCCTATATTTATTAGCCTGAAATGCAGTGGACTCTTGAGGCTGCCTGGCAAATCACCATTGACGTGCCTTGGTCTAGCATCTGTTTCAGAAACTTTTCTTCATCAGAATATCTCTGTGAAAGCCACGTAGCAGAGGAATAACCAATGAAAACTGATGCCATTCAGGGCTAGGCTTCATACATGTATGTGTTAATAATTACAAAGATAGGGAAGATGAGATTTGAGACAATAACAGTGTTCTAGCAAAATGAAAGCAATACCCTTGCAGTTTGGTTAATAGACATCTGCTTCTGACTTTGGCTCATCACCCTGCATAGAATCTACAGCCTCAGAACCTTCTAATTAATTTGCTGTTCTTATACTAGACATATAGGCACCAGATCATTGGCTCCATTGTGGGTTGCTTTGGTGTAACTGAGAGCAGAATTTGGCTTATTGAGCCTGATTCTCATAAATATGGCCATACTGGGTCAGACCAATGGTCCATCCAGCCCAGTATCCTGTCTTCTGACTGGCCAGTGTCAGATGCTTCAGAAGGAATGAACAGAGCAGGGCATTTATCAAATGATCCATCCTGTCATCCAGTCCCACCTTCTGGCAGCCATAGGTTTAGGGACACCTGAAGCCATGGGGTTGTGTCCTTGACAGTCTTGGCTAATGGCCATTGACTTATATCCTCCATAAACTTACCCAATTCTTTTTTTGAACCCAGTTATACTTTTGGCCTTCACAACATCCCCTGGCAATGAGTTCCACAGGTTGACTGTGTGTTATGTGAAGAAGTACTTCCTTTTGTTTGTTTTAAACCTGTGGCCTATTAATTTCATCGGGTGACCTCTGGTTCTTGTGTTATGTGAAGGGGTAAATCACACTTCCTGATTCACTTTCTCCTCACCATTCATAATTTTATAGACTTCTGTCATATCCTCCCCCACCCTTAGTCCTCTCTTTTCTGAGACCGTGTCTACACTCCCACTTACGTTGCTCAGGAGTGTGAATATTCACTGGTGCCACTGTAAGCTCTTTAGTGTAGACATAGGCCAAGATGAATAATCCTGGTATTTTTAACCTCCCCTCATGTGGAAACTGTTCCATGTCCCTAATCATTTTGTTGCCTTTCTCTGTACTTTCTCCAATTCTAATATACCTTTTTGAGATGGGACAGCCAGAGCTGCACCCAGTATTCAAGGTGTGGGAGTACTATGGATTTATATCATGGCATTATGATATTTACTGGCTTATCTACCCTTTACTAATGATTCCTAACATTCTGTTTGCTTTTTTTTTTCTTTTTTTTTTTTTGATGGCTGCTGCACATTGAGCAGATGTTTTCAGAGAACTATCCACGATGACTCCAAGATCTTTAAATGGTAACAACTCATCTAAACCCAATCATTTTGTATATACAGTTGGGATTGCTTTTCAAAGGGCATTACTTTACCCATTTATCAACACTGCATTTCATCTGCCATTTTATTCCCAGTGACCCAATTTTGTGAGATCCCTTTGTGACTCTTCACAGTCAGCTTTGGACTTAATACAAATGTACAAACTTTGCCATCTCACTGTTTACCCCCTTTTCCAGATCATTTATTGAACAGCACTTTTCCCAGTATAGATCCTTGGGGGACTCTGCTATTTACTCCTCCCCACTATGAAAACTGACCATTTATTCCTACCCTTTATTTCCTATCTTTTAACCAACTACTGATCCATGACAGAACCTTCCCTCTTATCCCATGATTTTAAAGCTCCTTTACACAGCCTGAGTAGTACAAAGAGGCCTTAGAGTACATGAGAATCAGGACCATTGCGTTTGTTAACTGTCCTCAAATACAAGGTTGCGATGTTGCTTTGTTGGCCCTGATCCAGTTCCCGATTAAGTCAATGGAAAGACTCCCTTAGATTTGAATGGGAATTGGATTGAGCTTCCTCTTAATGATTTACACCTTAATTTGAGTAAACAACTTGGATTTAAAATAGATAAGGAAACTGCAAATAATTCTTTTACTTAGAGATAGTAACTCTTATGTAGCAGCTTCTTCAGTTGCCCTGCAAAATAAATGAAAGCTAGAAAACCTCGCTGGAGAAGATGGAAAACAATTTAAGATTAGTTTGTGGAGATTTATTTAGTTCCACTTACGCCAATATCCTCAATTAGTTTCTCACCTGGAACACTGGGCCCGCTGAAGTCAAGGGAAAGTTCAAAGCTCTTTGAAGTCAAAGGAAAGATCTCTACTGATTTCAGTGAGCTTTAGATTAGGCCTATTTTGTTGTGTCCAGAAAGGAACATAACAAAGATAAAACTAAAGGCCTGACTGCCCACTCTTCTGCACCTGCTGGTCATGTACATGGGCATAAAATGGATATAAAATAGTCAGACATTTGACCCCCCAACTTGCACTGATCACACAAAGTGTGGGGCAACGGTGTAGCAGGCCTTAAATCTTCGTGATGGATTGGATGGGGCAGGAGATTGGTAATGGGATGCTAAGTCTTTCACCCCCTGGTCAGTAGGATGAATGTGACCCAAACTAGGAGTAGCTAAAATCCATTACTATGTGATGGCCTATTCAACACATGTTGGAAATCTCAGCTGTTAGGGAAGAGGGGGTCACATAACAAAAACCATCATCATGTTTGTCTTTAGTTAGCATCTTTTATTAGCACTTTCAGCAGAGAGGCCAAGGATCGAATGGGCATAGAAATTGAGCTTCTATGGGGCTTCCAGCGAGTTAGAAAATGTTGACTTGGCTTCCAAAACTTTTCTGGGCTCTTCCTGTTCCATGAATAAAGAGAGAATTGGGGCTTGAGGTGGTTGGGAAATTATTCCTTCCCTTTCCTTCCTTCCTTCAACAAAAAAAATATAGTCCTCAAAATTGTTTGGGTTCTTGTCAAAACAGCAACAATTTCAGTTGCTTGAAACAGTCTTGGAGTTTGGGGATTTTTTTTTTTTTTTGACAAATCTTGACATTTCCACAGAAATGGAAAATTTTTTGCAAACATTTTAATTTTATCATTATTTTGTTATTATTTGCAGAAAAAATCTTTCAGTAAGAAACTTTCAACCAACTCTGTGCAAGCCTGTAGGGCTGTCAATCTCTCATCATTCAAGTTCTCTGAAAATTCCCAAAATTTAAAAAAAATCATTTTGGGCTCACCCAAAAACAAATTTATTCAAAATTTTGGTGTATCTTAAAAAAAAAAAAGTACATTTTAGGTTGAATTAAGCATTTTGTTTGAACCAAAATTTTTTTATATTTCAAGCTTTCTTTTCCATTTAAAAATAAAATTAAAGTAACTTTGAAACAAAAATATCATTTTGAATTAAAAAGTTGAAACGTTTCAAAAATCACAAAATTAAATGTTTAAACATTCAGGTTTTTTGGGTTTTTTTTTTAGATTTTTTGGATTGAAACAATTTATTGAAATTGATGTGAATTGGTGAAATAGTTCAGTTCACCCATGTCTGCCTTTTTTTGGCTGGAAAAGAACTTTTGGACTAAAAATCTCACCCAGCTCTGTTCAAGAGCATTGTTTGTCTTTTAAAAACCACTACTCACGGAACAAAGACTTAGTTTGGCTGGATGAGGAACAGCTGCATCTCCTGATTGGTGGCTTTCCCACAACAGTGGAAGGTTTTCATCCAGGAGGACGTGTTCTTGCCTCAATATTCTAATGCAAAGACTCTGGAGGAAAAAACTTGGAAGGATTTGTAATGATTTAATCCATGCTGTCAGAGAGATAGAAGCATCCTCTTTCTCACGGGGATGCTTGCCAAACAGCTCAGCTTTGCTTCACTTCCCAGTTTTCTCACCCATACCACTCTCAACACAAAAGGCTCTCACTTTCTTGGATCCCAGATGGCACGTCTGCATTCCTACCAGGGACTTCTATTGGTGGAAGCTAGACGTGAAGAGCAAGACTGCAATCAATCAGGTCTGCGTCTCGGGGTCTATAAGAGGGGATTTATTGTTTACGCTAGCAAGCAGGATTCACCTGCCTACGCTGAAAATATTTACATACAACGCACACAGCTTACAAGCTGTGGAGTTTTGAGGACTAGCATTTGTGGTGGCAGATGGGTTGGCAAAGATTTTGCCAACCACGTCAGAGATTTACACCGACCACAACACCCTGCTCCCTGCCATAGGGGGGGTTTAATTGGAAGCATTAAGACTGATGCAGTTTAGTGGATTTTAAACCTAAAATTTAGTCGCTTTTTACACCTCTGCCCCACCCTAAATAACTGCCGAATACAGGCCGTTGATATGAACGCAGCATATTTTGAATAGATGCTGCACATTTCGCCTCTGAGGAGCTGCCATAGTTCAGAGAGGGTTCTGCTGGCCTGGGGAAGTTATTCTGTGGTTGGCAGGGAGAGGAAGGGACTGGGCACCTGAGTAGAGAGAGAGACTAGTAGATAGGCCTCCTGCCTTCCAGACCAGTGGCCTGTGTTCTCTTCCTACTTCGGTCACTGATCTTGGGTAAGTCCCTGTTTTCCTTTCTATGTGTAGAGAAGGGACTGTCTCTTGTTCTGTGTACATACAGAATGGGGCCCTGATCTCAGTTAGTATCTCCTGGTATTACCTTTGTACGCATAATAATATAGGGATAGTTGAAATCTCCCATTATTATTGGGGTTTTTTTCCTCTTGTTTCTCTCTCATCTCCCTGAACATTTTACTATCACAGTGACCATCCTATTGCTATATGCTTATTGTTCAAGCATGGAATTCTATCCATAGAGATTCTATTGTACAGCTTGATTCATTTAAGAGTTTTACTTTATTTGACTCTCGGCTTCTTTTCACACACAGTGCCACGCCCCCACCAGCACAAGCTACTGTGTCATTCCTATGTGTTTTGTACCCTGGTATTACTGTGTCCCATTGATTAGCATCAGAGAAACTTGGTGGAGTGATGCCTATTATAGCAATATCCTCAGTTAATACCAGGCACTCTAGTTCACCCACCTTAGTATTTAGATATCTAGCATTTGTATACAAGCACTTAAAAGATCAGTCAGTATTTAGTTGTCTGCCTTCATGTGATGTAATTGAATGGGACTCTTTTCCATTTCAGTTTCTTTTCTGTTCCTACCTGTACTTCATCAAGTTCTATTCTCTCCTCTTTACTAGGATCTAGAGTATTCCCTTTAATAAATCCTCCCCTACGGGATGCCTCTGTCTGAACCGTGTGTTCCTCCGAACCTGTCAGCTTTCCCCCAGCCCTTAGTTTACAACCTTTTTAGTTTTATATGCCAGCAATCTGGGTGTTTTGGTTTAGATGGAGCCCATCCTGCCTGTATAGGCACCTCCTTTCCCAAAAGGCTCCCCAGTTCCTAATAAATCTAAATCCCTCCTCCAAACACCGTCATCACATCCACGCGTTGAGACCCTGCAGTTCTGCCTGTCCAACTGGCCCAGTGTGCGGCATTTGAAGCATTTCAGAGAATGCCACCACGGAGGTCCTGGACTTTAATCTCTAACCCAGAAGCCTAAATTTGCCCTCCAGAACCTCTCGCCTACCTTTCCCTGTGTCATTAGTACCTACCTATACCACGACCACCAGCTTCTCCCCAGCACTGCACATAAGCCAGTCTAGATGTCTCAAGAGATCCATAAACTTCACACCCTGCTGGCAATTCACCATGCAATTCTCCCAATCATTGCAAACCCAGTTGTCTATATTTCTAATTGAATTCCCAATTACTATTACCTGTCTCTTCCCAATAACTGGGCTCCTGTCTCTCAGAGGTGTCCTCAGTGTGAGAGGATAGCATGACATTTGGAAGGAGGTTCCCAACTATGAGATCATTTCCCTCCACTCCGCTTTGATGTTCTCCTTCCCTGAGACTTTGATCCTCCTCAACATCACAGAGTTTGTCGGACTCAGGGGTGGGACTGCCCTACTGTGTCTCCGAAAGTATCATTTATGTAACTTTCTGTCTCCCTTCGCTCCTCCAGTTCAGCCACTCTGGTCTCCAGAGCCCGTACTTGGTCTCTGTGGGCCATGAGTTCCTTGCACTGAATACACTCACTTGCCGTCCACCCACAAGGCAGGATGCATTCAGTGCAATACACTGCATATCCCGCACTCTGCTGCTGGACTTCTGCAAGATTCAAAACAATGCAGGCAGGGTGGTTTTGTTTTTGTCTTGTAGTTGTGGGGTTATGGGGTTTTTTTGCGGGGGGGGGGGGAGTAGGGGAAGTAGAGGTGGTTATTGGCTTAAATTTTGAGTATGTTTCTTAGGTGTACCTGTCTCTCTCTCTCTCCCTCACAAAACTCATCAGTTCGCTAGCTCCTCTGGTTGCTTAGGAGCTGGCTTTTTAAACCCCTGTTCTCCCTCAGTTAGCCCCGCCCCCTTG